TTTACACCACCCAATCTTTTTCTGTGGGTGTCGTAAAAGTCGACTCGGGAAATAGCCGGATAATGGATACTTATAGTACGCTGGTATAGTATTATAATATATTAATAACTGGTATAATACTATACCAGCGTACTGCAATAGCCTATTGACATTTCCTTGAAGTAGACCGTACTTTAAATCGGCACCTATGTACTTTGCTTATTTCAGCTGCAAAGTAATCATGCGTTCGGGTTCGAATTGTAAGACAGCCTTTTTTTAATATATTTTTTAAGATCGAAGTATTACTGGTGGCTTTGAGGCCTTTTCAGTTTCACCAGGACAGGTGGGCGAGCAAAGGCTCAGCCAGGAGGGGTGGGATTTGCTAACAGCTGCCCGAGCGCCTCCAAAGGAGACCTAACAACTCAAGAGCAACTGCTTCGCGAATACCCGATAAGACAGCCGTTATGCTATGCTACAATGGAGAATTAGACCACATATGTCGAGGTTGTGAAATCTATGTTCTTCAATAACTATATTATGACCTTGACCCGTTTACGCAATAAATAAATTGGTAGGACCTCTTGTGAGTCCGCGCGGGTGGGTACCACCACCCTGCCTATTTCTGCCGTGAAGCAGTAATGCGTTTCGGTTTGAAGGGTGGGGCAGCCGTTGTAACTATACTTGAGACCTAAGAACTTATATCTCAAGGTAGGTGGCGCATTTACGTTGCAGATGTCTATGGGCTCTAGTAACCACTTAACACCAGGTGGGCTGTGAGCTCGTCCACCCATCTAAGCATTAAAAAAAAAATACTGAGTAGACTGTTGATAGAGCTCTGACTGTTTGCGTCACGAGACGGTAATTTTTAATACGCTTTTATTAACTTCATACGTATGTTACTATCTATGTTAGTATGTAACGGAATCTTTGAACATGATTTTGACCCCCTTCAAAACGTCAGATTAACTCGAAATTTAGCGTACTTATCAAGGATCGATGATCAATGATTTTAAACAGTTAAACCCGTTATTTACTTTCGGCAGTCAAAACAACAAATTCGTTTGAGCGCCTTCGTTTTTTCACTTAGCAAATTGGATACTTTTGTACGAGTATTTGCCTGAATATACGCTAATGAAGTACGATACATTAGTTAAGTTTCTTAAGCTAAAAAATTAAAAATAAATATTAATTAAAAAAAAACGAATAAACCCGCTTTTATACAAAACCCAACTAAAAAATAGAAAACAAGCTTACTGTATAAAAGACATTAGGTGGTTTTTAAGATATATTCACAATGATAATCCTTCTACTCATATCTTTCAATAAAATTTTATAATTATTGACACCATGCACCCTACGCTTTTTTTTAAATAAATTTATTTTCTATTTTTTAGTTGGATTATCTATAAAAGCGCGTTATTTTGTTTTTTTTTAATCATATTTATTCACTTTGTAAGTCGGGGTAGCCCTAAACTAAATTATGGCAGTCGGAGTAAGTCAATATTCAAACTTTCGGGGAACTACAAAAAAGAAAAGTTTTAGTTTTCTTTGGTTTTTTACACAAAACATTTATAAAGTACTACTGCTCTATTTTTTCGAGAAGGAGGTAAGCAATATACCTAACCTATAAGTTTTGCCAGTGGCTTGCTAATAATAATAGCACACTCACAGACAATAATGTCGCTGAGTGTGGCAACGCCTTCATTGATTATGAATTTTGAAATTTATGTGACGGTTGTGATAACTCTCCCAACGTTTCTGGTACGTTTCTGGTTCATTACCATTTGAACCATGCTTCTTAAGTATATTAATTTTGACCTCTAGTAAAGCGCGTGTAAAGGTTTTTTTTAAGATTTGACCGCAAGCGAAGATTTTTTCCTGTGTCTCGGATGCTACTATTGTAGGTGTAATTCTAGCATCTTCTAGCAAGAACAACCACACCCAAACGTCAAATAGCAAAAGTTCAACTGGGGATCCAACCATAGCAAAGCGAGCCAGTCAACCTGTTAGAACAACGAAATGAAAAAAACGTGCCGTAAATAAACAATTCTGAATCTCACGTTTAATTACACGATTAAAATTACACATAATCGTATATAGTTATAAAGCAGATAATGATAATAATATAGTTAATACTATAATAAATGAGAAAGCAGCGAAGCTTAAGCAAATTGGAATTTTATCATGGTATGTACGTACATGGACGTTTTTTTTTATTGCCCTTGTAGGCAGACGAGCATACGGCCCACCTGATGGTGAGTGGTTACCGTCGCAAATGGATTTCAGCAATGCGAGGGGCAGAACCAAGCCGCTGCCTACCGTTGAGTACTCTCCACAAGCCTCGTTTGAAGAAGGACAAGTCATAGCGCTCGGGAAACACCGTGGAGGGGAGCTCATTCCAAAGCCGGATGGTACGTGGCAAAAAATATCTCTGGAAACGCACTGTGGATGAACGCAGTGACTCCAGGTAGTATGGATGAACTCTACTCCGGTGGTGGGCGGTGCAATAGTAAAAACGAGATGATGGAATCATCTCAAATAATTCCTCAGAGTACTCCCCATGGAACATGTGGTACAAAATGCAGAGAGAAGCGAAGTCCCTCCGCAGACCCAGGGGTTCCAAAAACGTAGACGTAGTCAGGCCCTTCCTACGGCTACAGATATGACCCCCCAGTTAGTCACGTAATACCACAACACATACCTCCTATTTTAATTGCTTCCGCGCACACTATAATTTAGTATTCCAGGCCATTTCAAGAGCGACCCCACTATTGATTTTAAAACTGGAGGTCTGACCCACGGTGCTACAGAACCCTATCGATCGGCCCTGTGCTCTTAGCGGACACATTTATAGAAAATAAAGATTTAGGTAAATTCCTAAATAACTTTTGTCAAATATTCCGAAGATTGCTATTTATGTGAATTAAATAAACAATTGTGTAGCATAATTTCTTTTATTACACATTATTATATTTTATTGCATGTTTATATACAAATATCACATAATATATAAGGTACACAATGCATGACGGCACCTTTATCAATAAGATACTACTTTCATAAATAATGATGATAACTTATTCTTGTGTTTAAGTATTATAGGATAAGATGAAGTCGTCGGGGCCCAAAGAAATGGGCTCAGTGTAGTCATATTAAGTGTTCAAGTCACTTTCATAATAAAAAACAGCTTTTATCACGTTTATCTCTTTTTTAAATCAATTTTTCTAAATTAAGTTGTTTTGTGATTCATCCTTTATTTTAATCATCTATACTATATAAATCTACAGTGGTTTTTACGGATGTTCCGTTATAACTTACTGAACCATGCATCCGATTGATTGACCTGAAACTTGGTATCCAAGTAGAAAATACATGTACTTAATGGGATAGGCTAATATTTATATGAGTGTTGGACTCCCTAATAATAGTGACAATAAATAATAAAGTTAATTTTAAATGCCCAGCGAAGCGGGCGAGTAATATAATAAACCAATGAGCTTCTTAAGAGAAAACGGCCAACCTGATAATGAGTGGTTACCGTCGACCATGGACGTCAGCAATGCCAGGGGGAGAGCCAAGCCGCTGCTTACCGATAAGAATTTTTCATAAGCCTCATTTGAAGAAGAACATGTCATAGCGCTCGGGAAACACCGCGGAGGGGAGCTTATTCCCCTCCTCAGTACGTGGCAAAAAAGAAACTGAAACGCAGTGACCCCAGGTAGTATGAATGAATCCTACTCCGACGGCGTGCAGTCCGATAGTAAGAACGAGATGATGGGATCATCTCAAACAATTCCTCAGACCACTCCCCATGGAACATACGGTACAAAATACAGAGAGTACTTAAGTCCCTCCGCAGACCCAGAGGTCACAAACGATCCGTGAGAATGGGATTATCGACAATCCGAACGGCCCTCTTGTGTACGGAGTCAAATGAAAATAGCTGGTATTTGGGAGTCCCATCCCAGAGGTGGGAGCAGTACTCCACGCGTGGCCGGACTTGTGCTATATAAGCTGCTAATGCGAAGCAAAAGTCTTTGTCCAGGCGTAAAGTACCGCTTCGCTCTGTTGAGGACTCCCAACATTTTGGACGCCAACTTGGCTTTGCCCTCCAAATGACTCCGAAATTGGACATCGTTCAAAATGTCGACCCTAAGTATCCCGATACTCTCGGAAGGTTGCTGGGATCCTTTGAGGGTCCTCCTTCTTCGCAGTGAACGTGCAAACTTGTGTCTTCAGGGGTTGTATTGAACCAAGTTCAATTCACCCCGCTTGGAGACTCAGCCCAGAGAGTTTTCCACTTCGGACATAAGTTTTGATCGTCTCTTCTGCACCACGCTCCGACAGAGCTCAAGATACTTCAGGAGTTGCGTATCTATTATTCTTTCCACCATTTTATTACCACAATTTATAGCTAAGGCCGGCAAATTTGTCTACCTCCTTTCTAGTTCTGACGGCACACGGTATCGACATTTTTTTTTAAACTGAGAACAAATTGTTTTAGTAAAAAAATGTTTGTTCCTAACATCCTACCCACAGTCTTCGGTAGTGCAGATAGTCACGAAATTTTAAATCATTATCCGTATCCGTTATTATCATCTATAGCCGTTGTAAGCAGAAGATTATACTACTACTACTACTATTGCGCTGGCGCTATGACCCTGAAGTGGGTCCTGGCCTTCGACAACAAACGTCGCCATTCATCCCGGCGCTGCGCAACACCTTGCCAGTATACGGCTCAACGGCAATAAACTAAAGGGTGCAGCCAAATCGCTGCACACTGATCAGCAACAACACATTGTCATAGTGATTTTAACTATATTGTTAGTGTGATACAAATGAACACATAGGTAAGCTTAGGTAAACTTAGAAAATGAATAAAAATACAGAAAGTACTCATCATGCTATTTATTTTAACTATTTTATTGACATACAATAATTTTCATTTAATAAAATAGTTAAAATTCCGATTACGAGCGCCCGAGAGCGGTCATGGTGGACATGTCGACATTGATCGATATTCAGTTAAGGGTCTCAGGAAGAGTGACAGCGGGTGCGGGAATGATGGGAGTCGCGACGATCACTGGCTTGGGAGCAACGGGAGTAATGTCAGCAACCTGGACAGGCTCGGGGACGGGGCCATCGACAACGATCACGGGCTCAGCAACGATTTCGGCTTCGTCAACGACAATCACGGGCTCAGGGATAATGGCATCGACACCGGGTCCGGGGACAATAGGGGCAGAGCTAGCCTGGTTGATGTTCAAAATGATTTGCACGAGAGGAGTGCTGTCAGCAACGGGGGCAAGAGGAGGGTTGTCTACGATAGCGGGTCCAACGGAGATAGGTACGAACTCGTCGACGATGGCAGGCCCAACGGAGATAGGTTCGAATTCGTTGACGATGGCAGGTCCGACGGAAATGGGCTCGAACTCATCTATGATGGCAGGTCCGACAGCGATAGGTACAAAGTCGTCGATGATGGGAGCAGGTCCGGCAACGCCGGGACTCACCAGGCCCTTAGTAGGGCCGGCGACAGCAACGGCCACCACGGCAGCGAAGGACAGGAAGAATTTCATAGTTTCTGTGAACAATATTTATATAATTTAAACACACTACAGCTAATTATTGTCATGTATAAAGTTTTATTGATATTGAAATTCACAAGTATTTTGTATGTATTATATTATTAATTTAACTAATAATTTTTTTTTATTTGTCACGCTGTCACCAATTTAAGTTTTGTCTATATTTTTGCGTATTTAATGGAAAAAAGGGAATATTAATTATTACTTACCAAGTGGTTTACAATTGACAAATTATAATATTATACTCACAAAACATAGCATTATATACGAAATATTATCAAAACAACCTTACAAAGATAATCTAAATACGCCAATCTTGTCTACCAAATTCATAGTTTGTAACCAACTGTCATAAATCTTTTTAATCCTTTTAATTGCTGTTAAAGTTAGATAAACAATAGAATTATTTATACATGTAATGTTTTTATACCAATAAACTGGAGTATTCTAGAGGTGTATGTGCCTAATATTTAATATTAATATTTGTTGAATTTCTCCCGTATCGCAATATCGTTTTATTTAAGGCAGGAGTACTATTTGGGACAAACCATTGATGGAACTAAAATGTATCAAGCCTAACGGAGAGAATAAGGGGTTCATCGAAGGTCATCACTAATCCAAATGCTCCCATTCTTATCTATCATTGAATATAATTAATTATACTAGTGAACGGTGATGCTTATAACGTCATTAAAAAGTGTCTTAAACAGAAATAGGTAATTCACAACATTGAGAATATCGTTACTCTGTATTTTTATGTTCCTCATAAAATATGTTTCAGTCACGGGAAAAGGCTGTTAAAATTTCATAATTCCTCAATAATCATAGAAATATCAGAAATTAATTGATCTTGTTTCAACACAATGGATACAATGAATATAGTTCTAACTACCGTCCAATACCTCATAATACAAAATAAAAAAACTTGAGCTTTCTTTCAAATATCAAACAAGCCTTAGCAATCCGTGACCACGAAAACTGTCATGTATTCAAAACATCCGAATTAATACAATGAAAACAAAAAAAAAACGTAAAGATTAAACCGTAAAATGTTTTGTAGACATAATAGCTCGAAGAAAACTGTGTTTACAAAATATCTGGTTTCACGATAGAGGCCTTATAGAGGGCCGTCAGCTGATGCTCACATCGTGGTTAGTTGTGTTCCCGTTGAGGTCGGACTGCGATTGAAACACCTCGGTTCCATTCTAGACAATCGATATACCTTTGTTTACATATTCCAAGCAGTCTGGTCCCCAAGCTGCTCGAAATGGTTGGCCTTTTGGGCCGGTTTCTGAACAAACCAACACATGAAGGTGGTGCGGTCCTTTTTTTTTTTTTTTTTTTTTTTTTTTNCCACTTTGTCGGCAAATGTTCCACGAACACAAAAATAACTAAAACAAAACAAATAAAAGCTTCCAGGAAACACACTTGGTCGGCAGATGTATCACGAACACAGGCCGCGCGAACAATGGCCGGGCTAACAAAAGCCGGGCGAACAAAGACCGGGCGATCGAGTGGACGATGAGCACGTCCGCACGTGACGGGTGCCTCTATCGGAAAGCGTGGTGCGGTCCATATACGAAGCCTTCGTATAAAACAGATCCCCAGGCTGTCATAGTAACGAATCAGAAGCTGCACCACGTCCTTATTCGATTTATACGGTACTCCGACGGCTATCCTGCAAAAACGGGATTGAATAATTTGGAAGGATTTTAAGTGAGTGCGGGCCGCGTGAGCGAACACTACACTTGCATAGGTCATGACGGGGCGTATGCAAGCTTTATAGAGTGCCACCTTATTACGAAGGGCCAGTTTACTTCGTTTGCAAATCATCGGATAGAGGCATCCTATCGATAGAGGGACGGAGTGTCATCCGTCTATCGAGGGTGACGCCTAGGTATTTGACTTTCGAGGCCCACGGTATGAGCTTGCCGAAAAGAATTATGGGGCGAATGTTGGAGGTGTTAACGCGGTTAGTGGGCTGCTCGAAGTGGTGGAAAATACTAAACAGGCAAAGCCGCAAACTTTTCCCTGCCAATCCTTGAAATATAATAATTCACTAAGTATTTTCAAAATTTCGTTAATCCAATTTAATCGTGTTCTATTAGATTATATTATCATTTACGCGAATGTAATTCATTATTATCGCAGGCTATAAATCAATATCAAAGTCGTTTTCCAGACGTTTAACCGAAAAACACATTTCTAAAGTGATTTTTCCTTCTGATTAATCAGGTTAGCTTCTAGTAGCTTTTAATTGTTAGTGCATGGTCGTGTTATCAAACTCGCGAGTCACATGGTCTGCGAGATATGTGGTTAATAGACATCACAACATGAGTACCAACGCTCGCCCATCAGCCCCAAAAAACCCTTGCATTAGACACCTTTAGCTCTATCAATAGGAGAAAGGACTCCGGTAACCGTACTCGTCGAACTCGACGTACGCAAAGAGTTCGACGTACAACCTAACTTAAGCATCAGCCCGCTGAGTTTCTCGCCGGATCTTCTCAGCGGGCCGCGATTCCGATCACTTTTTTGTATGGAAGTCGTCGTGGCCTAACGGATAAGACGTCCGGTGCATTCGTGTTGAGCGATGCACCGGTGTTCGAATACCGCAGGCGGGTACCAATTTTTCTAATGAAATACGTACTCAACAAATGTTCACAATTGATTTCCACGGTGAAGGAATAACATCGTATAATAAAAATGAAACCCGCAAAATTATAATTTGCGTAATTACTGGTGGTAGGACCTCTTGTAAGTCCGCGCGGGTGGGTACCACCACCCTGCCTATTTCTGCCGTGAAGCAGTAATGCGTTTCTGTTTGAAGGTTGGGGTAGCCGTTGTAACTATACCGAGACCTTAGAACTTATATCTCAAGGTGGGTGGCGCATTTGGCTGAGCCTTTGCTGAGTCTTTGCTCGCCCACCTGCCCTGGTAAAACTGGAAAGGCCTCCGAGCCACCAGTAAAACCTAAAATATATAAAAAAAACGCTCGCCTTAGGACATACATATTATTATATCAGTACATAAGATCGAAGTCTAATATGGTACGATGTACTATTATGGTATGGCGTACTAATATGGTATGGCGGTAGAAACTTAAGTCAGACAGCACGATGGCTCGGCTCTAATCTTCTTTGGTATCCTTCTTCTTTATCGTTCCATCACTGCTGAGGATCACGACCAGTCAGTTGTGATTTTCCTCCACAGTGTTCGATCATGGGTGGCATGGACCACGTCGTATAGACAACCATTAACCGCTTTCTTTATTAGATTTGAGTATCTGGCTGGCATTCTGCTTGTATACTACTGCACAAAATGCAGAGCTTAACCCAATTTCCTGGAACCGCTTCGTTCATCAACAGTGTTCTACAGGGATGTTTTTTTGAGAAATAACATATTGCAGGCATAACATATTGCTATAATTATCTACTCTGGTTGTCGTCCCCACAACGTTATGATATATCATTCACCCTTTTCTCCTGCTGGTAAGTGGTAAGTGGTAGGTAGCGACTCGACTATACTCCAATATGCCTACCGACTGTCGCAAATTAAAAACATAAACGACATAAAACAAGCTTGTTTAAAAGCCTTGTCCTGCTCTTCAGACGAAACATTGTGAATGTATTTATTATGAATGCATAAGCAATTCAACTTCGAATGAGATAAATAATACGCACAATATATATTTTCAAGATTTATATAGTTGAAGTATCTTAGGAGAAGGAACAATGGGTGCAAGAAAACATTTATAAAAATCCTTTTATTTCTATTTAAGTTTAAATATTTCTGTAAAGTCAATTACTTAAATTAGAAAAATTAGTTCATAAAAATTTAAGTTACACATACATTAATAGACTAATATAAACTAATTCTATCTTGAAATTAATAAAATTAAAAAAGACCGATTTTTTTGGGACCGAGATCGAATCTCGCCATGAGATCCTCATGTGAGTGAGTGAGCATTATTACGTAAATTTTCTATTTTCTCTGGAGACAATCACATATATAACTATATCTGGAGCATCACAAATACATAAAATAGTGAAACGCTTCACAGTGGACTCTACTTATTTTATAAATGACTGTTAAAATATAATATTTAAAAAATACAACATGCTAAATGGCAATAATTTTTGCAAAGATTAAAATCGTATAGTATCTCCAGTCAATAAGCTTTTACAATCTTTGAACAATAATTACTCATCTCACGGTAGAGTGCACGAAAATTCCAGAAACAATGCGGTCACCATTCGGACTTACAATTAATTTCACCATTGTATATTTCAATCTTTATGTCATCTTTCTATGAAGTTGATTAATCAATGTAAATATAATATATGCATTGCCCTATGATTCGCTATTTTAGTTTGAATAAATAATTATTGAATAATGTCCTTTTATTTAGCACATTGTTTGCGTCCAAGCATAGCGCCCTGATTCTTATCACGACTACTAAACTACTCTTTTGAGCCCAATGTCTACTACCAATATGCACACGAGACTAGAACAAATTCTCCTATATCCCTAATGTCTTTCTTCTTCTCCATCGTTCCCTCATTACTGAGGATCGTGACTCCGTTTCACTTCCGTCGACTGCCAGCCTCCATTGGCTCCGATCAATTGCCTGGTGTAGTGCAGCGTTAAGTGGTCCGCTGGTTTGCTCGGAGATCTGGTCGGACCAACGTTTGGGGCTCCGGCCTCTAGGACGTTTTCCTTCTACTTTTCCAGTGACCATCAGACGTTCCAAGTTATCTACACCACTGCGGGCAACGTGGCCAAAGTAGCGCATTATGCGTTGCAGACAGGTGGTAGACAGGCGTTGAGCGTTTTCCATTCTAAACTGTTGTAGGACCGAGATGTTCGTGCGGTAGACTGTCCATGGAATCCTTAATGGGCGGCGCCAAGACCAATGTCTTTAACAGAGCCTTATTGGCTATTAAAAAACGAATCCAGAGGAAGCAATCAGGGTCGCCGTCCACCAGATCAATTGTTGTTATTGCCGATGTTTGCAATGTAACAAACGTCTTTTGTAGTAAAGTTTGTTCACATTCGGTTCTTCAAACATCGCCTGGCTACATCATATACCTATTAGATCTCAGAGCTGAAACGCTGCTGTTGTACTAAGGAAATAATCATCACCAACGCAAATGAGAATAACCATATATAAAAGTATTAAAATTCTTTATTTGTCACATTATACACTCGTTATTTTGTGTCTTGTTGTTATCCTGGTTATGTTATTTTATATTCTAAAATGATGCACTTAAATCTAAAGCTGCACTTAGTTGAGGATCTCGGGTAAAGTTACGACGGGCGCGGGAATGATGGGAGAAGCGACGATGACCGGAGTGGGAGCCACAGGCTTCTCAACAATCTCGGCTGGCTGAGGATTATAGACGGGGGTTTCAACAGCAGAAGCAGTGGTTGCCTGGTTGATATTCAAGATGATCTGCACGAGTGGGGTGCTCTGGGCGCTGGGAGTATCGACGATGGCGGGTCCAACGGAGATGGGTTCGTAGTTGTCAACATCCACAAGAGCAGGTCCAACGTGGATAGGTTCGTAGGTGTCAACTAGAGCGGGTCCAACATGGATAGGCTCATAGGTGTCGACTAGAGCAGGTCCAACATGAATAGGCTCATAGGTGTCGACTAGAGCAGGTCCAACATGAATAGGCTCATAGGTGTCGACTAGAGCGGGTCCAACATGGATAGGTTCGTAGGTGTCGACTAGAGCGGGTCCAACATGGATAGGTTCGTAGGTGTCAACTAGAGCAGGTCCAACGTGGATAGGTTCATAATTCGCTGGGACGGCCACAGCCACAGCTACGACAGCAGCAAAAGATAAGAAGACTTTCATTTTCTGAAATTAAAAATTTAATTAAAATCAACGTCTAAAAATACCTTTTGAAGATATACATTTCTCGTGCCATCAATGAAAATAATGTTCTCTTCACGCGTATATGGGTGAACACGCCAATGGGCCAACTTTGTAAAGCGCTACCGAAGCCTATAGAGATCATGACGGAAATGACGCTGCCCACCTTGAGACATGAGGCTGAATTCTCGATCTTTTTGTATAACGACTCCCCCCCTCTTCTTTTTTTTTAAACGGACCGCATGGTGCTTTGTGTTAAAAATAGGTCGTATAGTAATGCAAACTAGAGAAGAGGGCTTACAGTACGCCCGACCAAAGATAAATGGCGTTTGATTGCTCTTGAGTTGTTAGGTCTCCTTTGGAGGCGCTCGGGCAGTTGTTAGCAAATCCCACCCCTCCTGGCTGAGCTTTTGCTCGCCCACCTGTCCTGGTGAAACTGGAAAGGCCTCTGGGCCAACAGTAATCTTTCAATCATAAAAAAAATTTGCGTTTGGTGATCGCAATATTCGCCCGTTCTCTGGTGAATGCTTTAGTCAGCTTTTACAGCACCCACGGGAAGAAAAGAGTTGGTGCTATGCTAGATACAACATGCCCGAGTTCAGATAACTTAGTGTGTAGATCCTGAACAACTCACCGGTTTGTATTCAGAGAAACTGTACATTTCTTTTCGATGTACCACATTTTATATGAAATTCCCACTGATCATCGTCACTAATCATTTGTTTGATTGTGCCAGTCATAAGTTCACTCGGATTTTGGATAATCTTCATGATTTAGGGCTTACTCTTCATGTGTCAAAAGTATTACATAACATTAAGTTTGATTAATAACACCTCTGACATTTCTCAAATCGCTGCAATAAATTATTAATTCTTTCATGACATCTATTGATAATCTAAAAATTAAATGACAGTTTCGATGTTAGTTTCAATGTGATAATGCGTTAGACTACTAAAGGGTTTTTCATGAAGAGCGCTCCCCTTAAAAATAAAATAAAATAAAGCCGTTTAAGTGATATTGGCACAATTTTAATTTTATCTTAAATTCGTGTATTCGATGACATTATGTATGGAATATAATTTCAAGTGGGGCAGCCGTTGTAACTATACTTATAACTAAATTGTAACTATACTGTGTAACTATATTAAGCCCTTAGAACTTATATCTCAAGGTGGGTGGCGCATTTACGTTTTAGATGTCTATGGGCTCCAGTAACCACTTAACACCAGGTGGCCTGTGAGTTCGTCCACCCATCTAAGCAATAAAAAGTAAAAATGAAATAAAACTATATTTAGATACTACATAATATGTATTTAAGACTGTTACATAATATGTATTGAAAGTAACTTGACGACTGTGAATATAATTTTCTACACTTTATTGGTTTTTTTTTTATGATTGAGAGATTACTGGTGGCCCAAAGGCCTTTCCAGTTTCACCAGGACAGGTGCGCGAGCAAAGGCTCAGCCAGGAGGGGTGAGATTTGCTAACAACTGCCCGAGCGCCTCCGAAGGAGACCTAACAACTCAAGAGCAATTGCTTCGCGAATGAATCTACTACCGGATCGGAATCGCGACCCGCTGAGAAGATCCGGCGAGAAACTCAGCGGGCTGATGCATGGGTTAGGTTGCACGTCGACCTCTTTGCTGAGTTCGACGAGTACGGTTACCGGGGTCCCTAAGCCTGCTCCTAGTGTTAGAGCTGAAGGCGTCTAATGCAACGGTTATTGAAATGTCATGGAGGCATCCAGGGTGACTCCCAGGTACTTGATCTTCCTGGCCCAGGGTATAGGTTGGCCGAAGAGGGTGATCGGAGGTGTGATATTTCTCCTCCTAATGCGTGAGGAAATAAGCGGTGAGTTTCCCCTTTGAAATAACACTGCGGTGCTTTTCGCTGGGTTGATGTCTATGCGCCATTTTCGGAATTACTGTCCTAGGGCTACGACTGCGCTCTGAAGCTTCTTCGCAATAAGGGACTTATTTCTACTCGAATAGTAAACAGTCGTGTCGTCGGCGAATAAAGCTAACTGGGTCGGCGGTGACCGGGGAATATCGTTGACGAATAAGCTAAATAGGAGGGGCGAGAGGACAGAGCCTTGCGGGACTCCAGCCATGAGAGGTCACGACTTTCTTATGTTTAATCTAGCGTTTGACAGGCATCCGTAACGAACGAAACGTGAAACGAAAATAATAAAAGTGAAATTGAACCATTGATATATATACATACTAACTACATACCTAGGCGGCACTGAAAATTTCGGGAATTAACGAAGTGACACAACATTACTATTTAAAAATGTATTTATTGCTTTTCGAAGTATTCTCCGCGAAATTTGACACATTTTTCTCTCTCTCTATGGACAAGTAAAAATGGACAAGTATTATATAGTAATACTATACTACACCCACAACTGAGATGAATCTAACTAATAATACCTCATATTTTAAAAGGTTTAGATTCCTATGTGCTACAGCGTGCTGAAGAATACGTCTATATCTCACGTATTCTTCAGCACTGTATACACGATGTGTCACCGCCATCATTGAGACTTCTTTAATGGTATTTTCACGAACGTCATACGTGTCATTAATCGAACTTAATTTTATGTAATACTGATGGCGCATGAAGGGTATGCCCTAAATCATGAAAATTATCTAAAATACAAATCAAATTGTGACTGACACAATCAACCAAATGCTTATTAACGGCGATCAGTGATCTTCAATTCTTTGATAACAATTTCATATAAAATATCGTACATTGAAAAGAAATGTACAGTTTCTGTGAATACAAATCGGTGAGTAGTCTACAGTCTACGGACTAAGTTATGGGCTTTAGAATAAATAGCACCAACTCTTTTCTGTCCGTGGCTGCTGTAAAAGCTGGCTAAAGCATTCACCGGAGAATGGGCGAATATTGCGATCAGCAATCGTCATTTATCGGTGGTCGGGCATACTGTAAGACCTCATGTCTATAGTAGAATTGTTTTGTCCGTGCAGTTTGGGTCATAAAACATAGTCCGGCTAGGGCGGTGAGCATGTTGCGCGGGCGCAACTCCATTATCGATAATTTAAATGAGTCATCGAAGGCAGGTACATGGCGGCGGGGTGGTATATGAAGGGTGGTGAGACATTATTATGTTATGAGTCATTAGTTGTACCTGCCTGTAAAGTATAGTACATATGTCGAAGAGAAATGTGATTTTGTGCATTCGCTCTCTGAATTTCTTAAGTGACACAATGGCTACTCCTTTGTTTTGTACCAAAACGGCAGAATTTATTCAAATATTTTGCTTGTTGGCAAAAATATACCAGCACAAGCACGTGTTATTATCAACAATGTGTTAAAATTTTTCACTGAAATGAGAATAGATCCCGAAAAGTTACAGTGTTAATTTCTGTCGTTCTCGTTAACTTGCTGCGGCGATATGTAGTGTAAGTGTTCGATTAGTGATTTATCACTAACCTACAAAATGACAAAACTAAATACACTATCTATAACGCTTATCGACAACAATAATGCGCATCACTATGCCCGTCCATAAGGCTCGTGAGTGGAAGAGAGAGCGAAATACTCCCTTCACCGGTCCGATTTTTTATGACCCAAACTGCACGGACAAAATAATTCTACTATAGCTCACTTTATGCATTTACTTCGCAAAGCACTCTGTGGTACGACTTAAATGGGAAGAAGGGTGGTTTTAAAAAAAAATCGTAAATTCAGCCTCATATCTCAATGTGGGTAGCATCATTTCCTTCTAGTGGTTCTCCAAGGGTTTCTAAGGGCTCCGGTAGCGCTTTACAAAGGTGGGCCGTGAGCGTATTCACCCATATATGTACACAAAAATATAATAATTTTCGTTGATTGCACGAGAAATGTATTTCTTCAAGATGTGTTTTTAGACGTTGGTTTTATTTAATTTTCAATTTCAGAAAATGAAAATCTTCTTACCCTTTGCTGCCATCGTAGCTGTGGCTGTGGCCGTCCCAGCGAATTATGAACCTATCCACGTTGGACCTGCTCTAGTTGACACCTACGAACCTATCCATGTTGGACCCGCCATTGTCGACACCTATGAGCCTATCCATGTTGGACCCGCTCTAGTTGACACCTATGAGCCTATCCATGTTGGACCCGCTCTAGTCGACACCTATGAGCCTATCCATGTTGGACCCGCTCTAGTTGACACCTACGAACCTATCCACGTTGGACCTGCTCTTGTGGATGTTGACAACTACGAACCCATCTCCGTTGGACCCGCCATCGTCAATACTCCCACCGCCCAGAGCACCCCACTCGTGCAGATCATCTTGAACATCAACCAGGCCACCACTGCTTCTGCTGTTGAAACCCCCGCCTATAATCCTCAGCCAGCCGAGATTGTTGAGAAGCCTGTGGCTCCCACTCCGGTCATCGTCGCTTCTCCCATCATTCCCGCGCCCGTCGTAACTTTACCCGAGATCCTCAACTAAGTGCAGTTNACTCCCAGCGCCCAGAGCACCCCACTCGTGCAGATCATCTTGAACATCAACCAGGCCACCACTGCTTCTGCTGTTGAAACCCCCGCCTATAATCCTCAGCCAGCCGAGATTGTTGAGAAGCCTGTGGCTCCCACTCCGGTCATCGTCGCTTCTCCCATCATTCCCGCGCCCGTCGTAACTTTACCCGAGATCCTCAACTAAGTGCAGTTTTAGCTTTAAGTGCATCATTTTAGAATATAAAATAAAATAACCAGAATAACAACAAGACACAAAATAACGAGTTTATAATGTGACAAATAAAGAATTTTAATACTTTATAATATTGTTATTCTCATTTGCGTTGGTGATGATTATTTCCTAAGTACAACAGCAGCGTTTCAGCTCTGAGATGTAAAAGGTATGTGATGTAGCCAGGCGATGTTTGAAGAACCGAATGTGAACAAACTGTACTTACTACAAACGTCGTTTGTTACATTGCAAACATCGGCAATAACAATGTTATGGTTTTGTCATAGACTGTAGTCATTTTTTACCTCGCTTACTGTGGGACACCGTCTGGATATGTTGCGATTGATACACTGAGATCATGAAAACCATAATTATCCCTACTACATATTGATCTGGCGGATGGTGACCCTGATTACTTTCTGGATTCGTATTTGAATAGCCATACTGGTGGTAGGACCTCTTGGGAGTCCGCACGGGTAGGTACCACCACCCCGCCTATTTCCGCCGTGAAGCAGTAATGCGTTTCGGTTCGTAGGGTGGGGTAGCCGTTATAACTATACTGAGATCTTAGAACTTATATCTCGAGGTGGGTGGCGCATTTACCTTGTAGATGTCTATGGGCTCCAGTAACCACTTAACACCAGGTGGGCTGTGAGCTCGTCCATCCATCTAAGCAATAAAAAAAAGTAAAAAAATACAAAAATAAAAAAATAAAAAAAAGCCAACAAGGCTCCGTTAAAGGCATTAGGGATTTAGGTCAAAATGTTCTAGTCTCGCGCTCGAAGTAGCCGATGCCAAATGCGTAAGATGTGAAAATTCCAGTATTTGAAAGAGTTTTTAGTGCTTTTGAAGACACACATGCACCTAACTTGATGGTTAACGGTCACTGTGGCTCACGGACGTTAGCAACGCTAAGAGCACAGCTCACCGCCTAAGCACCTTATTCTGCGAC